CATTCATGAATAGATGGTATGACGTTTTAGGCAATATGTGTGTTATAAGAGAATGACTATAACAGGTATTCATAGCTTCTTTTCTCTTCTTTGTTACCAAGCGTGGTCCTCATTTACCTTCCGGTAAAGAAGGTTTAAAAATAAACAGCTTATACCACTGAATGATACCTTAACATGCCCTTTATAATTTTCTGTTTACACTATTGAGTTTACGTAGAACTGGTTGTAGTTTATTGAAACAACATTGTCTTCCGAAACAAATTTGCTTTTCGTACAGTGTGCCACAATAAACTGATTTGTCTGAAATATGCATTTACGGATTGCTAAAGAAATTACAACATCATCCTTAAGGCTTACATATCACAGTCATGTTTCAGCAGACCAAAATAATATTTGAAAGGAAGTAGTTTTAGCAAAAAGAAAAGAAAAGAAAGCTAACAGGGGAATCAATTATAATATATAAGATAATAACTTCAATTTAAAAAAAGGTAGCTTTAAATTGGTAGTGGAGTGCTAGACTTGCTAGACTGCAAAATAATTTTGATTATTATATTAGAATTCTCGATTTCAAAACAGTTTCATCTAACGCGCTACACTATTTGTCCTACTTCAGCCCACCCTCTTAAATTGAGAGAAACAGTGTTGATCATAGAATGCTGATCACTTATTTACTAAGGATTTCACACGATAGACTGCTTTAAGTGTCATTAGCCTTTCAGCTTTCAAATAGAGTGAAAGTTAAATTTAAAAAAAACTGAACATAATGATTAATAATAATGTACAGTTTAACATTCAATTGTTTTTTGTCATAACAAAGCACTCCAAAGTTAGTCAACTCAGTTTTAGAGAGAAGACATGCGAAATGCGATTAAATTCAGAGTGAAGTCTACGTTAAAATAGGCAGTGAGAAAATGGGAAAAATGCATTGATATTTATTTTAGTAACGAAGAGCACCGATTTGAAATCATTGGGTGATTCCGTTTTGGTATTAACTTTTCCCAACAGGGAATTGTGGTTTTCATCCTTTTGACATGCATTGGAGCATTTTGTCAACAATTGAGCTTGGACAAAGTGATCACCAGAGACACCCACCAATCAATTCGGGCACGTTCTCGTAAGGCAAACTCTCCATCTGGAAGATATGCCGAGCCGCGTCAAAATTACCGTGAAGATGACTGCTGTGTCAAGAAGAAGATGGTGCAAAATGGAAAAATCAAGACTCAGCGTCGCAGCGAGCATCCTGATTGTTTCAGTAAATCAGATCCCAGAAGCCCGTATTTTGGGATGTGCGAAACTGTGCGGAACAGTCAAAATGGTGTAGTTGCTTGTCGATGCGCTGCTCAAAAACGAGATAGTAACCCTAACTGACC